CGAGCTGAGGGGAGTCTCTATAGACGAGCTGAAGGGAGTCTCTATAGACGAGCTGAGGGGAGTCTCTATAGACGAGCTGAGGGGAGTCTCTATAGACGAGCAAAAGGCAGCCTCTATAGACGAGCTGAGGGGAGTCTCTATAGACGAACTGAGGGGAGTCTCTATAGACGAACTGAGGGGAGTCTCTATAGACGACCTAAAGGGAGTCTCTATAGACGACCTAAAGGGAATCTATATAGACGACCTGAAGCCAGTCTCTATCGACGAGCTGAAGACAGCCTCTATATACAGCCTAGAGGGAGTCCCTACAGACAAACTAGATGGAGTCCCTAGAAAGTCTCTATAGACGAGCAGAAGGCAGTCTTTATAGACGACCTGAAGGCGGTCTCTATAGACGGCCTGAAGGCGGTCTCTATAGAAGGCGTGAAGGCGGTCTCTATAGACGACCTTAAGGGAGTTTCTATAAACGACGTTAAGACAGTCTCTATAGAGGACCTAAAGGGAGTCTCTATAGACAACCTTAAGGAAGTCTTAAAGGATGAGCTAAGGAAATTTCGTTCAGACTGGGTGATTTTGGTCTCATAGCAATAGAAGACCTAAAGATAATTTCTTTAGACGATCAAATGAGAGTCTCTATGAAAAGGAAAGAAAGGGAGAGAGGGTCTCAAGACGGTCCTTCCAAAAACTCACTGTGAAATTTTCCATATTTAGCTGCAGTGCTTCAATTTCCTTGGCATACTTGTCCCAGGCATCATATTTCACCACCGTAATATAGATGTTCACCAACTTGCCGGCAAAGCGGGAGAACTGATTATCAATGCACACCGAATAATAGCCACCAGGTGAAACTTGATCAGTGTAATCCGCCGTTGCTTGCCATTGATAGGGTTTTACAATGGTACCAGCTGGATTGCGGACGGCAAAGCCGGCCATACCGTCACCACCACGTACAACCTAAAACACACCATATTATTACATGAAATTACCAAACAAAAATTCCCAAATATTTCCAACTTACACTAAAGGAAACATAAAAGGTGGCTCCAGGTTGAACATATTGATGGTAGCAGTCTTCTTTTCCGGCATCTATGTGGACCTGTTGCGCGACAAGAACAACGACGTGTTATTACTACATTGCGACATTCACTTTCTATTTGCTTTGACTTTTTTTGGCGGATATTTACCTTATAGTCCATTGCCACAGCTGGAAGATTTTCATACCATGGCTTAGGCACTTCTTGGGAAACAATTTGTGTGGATGCAACATTTAGGAGAATCACAAAAATGCTTAAAAAGGCTCCTATTTGCCACGTCGCCGAGGAATGCATTTTGTTTGGATTTGTGGAGATAAATAATAGCAAACAACAACAACATACGCACGGATTTCCACTAATCGATAGGGATAATAATCGAATAATCGATTTCATCAACTGTTGTCCAGTTGCAATAGTGTTGTCACTTTACCAAAATGGAAAAAAACGCCAAAATATAAATGTTCGTATCATAATTGCGTGTCGACCAAAAATGACTCAAAAAATATAAAAAATGTTTTATTTTAAACTCTTTTGTAAAATTAAGAGGGGTCATGTTTACTACCACGTCATAAAATGCGTCCCAAAATTTCACCTTGACAGTTAGAGGATAAAATAATGACAAAAATAAATCATGAAATCTTTATTTGAAATGATAGTAGGTCCAAATAATTTAAAGCTTAATTATTATTTAATGCAAATATTGACCGTGATTTCAACAGACGGTCGGACCTCACAACATCGACATATTTGGTGATCAAGTGCCTAAAATTTTAACTTCAAGGTGTTTCAAATGCAATGGCAAACTTAGTATGCCCCTCATACTATGGTGGAGGATATATATAGATTTCCAGAAGTTTAGCCTTTTACCTCAACTCGTTTGAAGTATAGCGTGATTACAACAGACAAATAGAACGACATCTTTAAATCAACTTTCATTTGATCAAAAATATATAAACTTTGTAGGGTTTCTGGTAATTATTTGGAGTGGTCATAGTCGGAATGACAAAGTTCCCTATACCCTCCATGGTATGGTGCAAAATATTTGATGAGTAATCTTTATTTTATAAATGTTTTCATTTCAAATTTCTCACTTTTTTAATATTTTAAAATTATATGGAACAAAAATTAAGATCTTTCATTATAATTTTGTATTTTCTATTCATACCAATTTTTATGAAAATCGACAAGAAACAAGGAATCCCGTGTTAATGGGTACTTGGCGTTTTTATCACCATTTAGGCTTTTTTCCCTTTTCTTGTGTATTGACATACTGCAGTGTTCTTTCACGTACGTTACAGATTATAATTGTTACTTTATACTATTCGCCGCAAGATGACGTTGCATAACATTTTCATCCGTTGAACTTGTTCACATTGACTACTTTCAGTTTGATTTAAATCAAAGATTTGTTTATGTGTGGAAGAAACATTTTTTTAATAGGTGTGTCTGGTTACTTTCCCTGCAGGAATTGTCCAGCAACATCTTTCTGAGAGAGTAAGGTAGTTTTATTCTCTTTTGCAAGGAAATTGCGAAAAGTAAACAGACGGTATTCCTGCACAAGCTTGCAACTAATCAGCTGATTTGTCAAAACAAACCAATTTGTCCCCCTTTAAAAGAATTAAACGAAAGGAACCACCACCAATTTCACAAGTTTTATAAATAAAAAGGAAATTGGCAATAAAATAAAAGTATGAGCAATAAAAGGAAGATAGATTTGATGTGTTCCGCGGAATCCTTTAAACCAGTTGCTAATGGCATTTGTCTAAAAATGTTGGAAATAGTCTTTTATTTTCTTATAACATATTAATATTTATGTTTTTCACATTTTGTAAAGTTGTTCTCCAAAAACAATTAGTCTTGTTAATTCCAAAACAATATTTTCAAATTAAAAGCACAAAAAGAAATAAGTAAACAATAGAAAACATCTGATTGAATGTCGATGAATGAGAAGAAGAAGAGTTGCAAGAGATTGCAGGAAGAAATTTTTCCAGCAAGAATTTGCAAACTCTCACTGAAAGAACTGTCAAAATTTCTCTCTCCAACCGCTCTCTTTTGCAGAACTTTTGGGTTAACAGACGACTTCCAGTAACAATTTGTAACAATTGTTACAAACTTTAAGGTAACCAGACATACCTAATACTGGATGTTTTAATTTTTATTACCTCATTTATGAAAATAATATAGAAACAGGGATACCAAAAGTCTGTCTCCTTTCCCCTTCATCAATGCCACCTGTTGAACATACCAAACGACAACAAACAAATCAGTTGACAATTAGCAAAAATGTTTAACATTACGAGGAATAAATTAATTAAAATTTTCGTAGCATTTATACTTTTGAAATTATTTCGAAATTATTTTATTACTTTGTTAAAAGATCATTAAAAGTTACACGCTGTTTCCTTTTCAATTAAAAACGCAACGGAAATGCATCATCTTATTCTTTCTCTCTCGCTCTCAATCTACTCTCCTAGAAATCAATCATTTGACAATTGGCAGTTAGTTTATTTCTCGGGTTTAATGCGTGCGGTCGTGATTCAACAGAGTAAAAGAAAACGGGGTATTTTTGCAATTATTTGTTAAAATATTAACAAGAAAAACAAGTGTAAGTGTTAAATAAACATATGTGTAACAAAATATAATCAAATAATCAGTAAAATTATTGATAAATATCGTATTATTTGCAAATTTACAAAAGCTTTTATTGTGGCGTCCCTAAATTCCGTTGGCAGCAAATTTGGTTGAGTATAAAAATGCAAAGGCAATGCATTCTCTCTATGCAGAGGATATCAAAAGAGTGTTTGATCAAAGTTTGTTGTTTTGTTAGTGTATTTGATGTGCAAATAATAAAAAAGCGGGAAGCGGGTCGTTTAAAGCGAGAAATATAATTTGTTATTGTTATTCTTGTTATAGTTATTATTACATGTTATTCTTTTTATGCTCTATGCAGAGGATAACTAATGAGAAAAGTTTTTTTGATTAATGTTTGGTGTTTTGTTAGTGTGTTTGATGTGAAATGAATAAGAAAAGCGGTAAGAAGGCCGATTAAAGCATAAAATATAATATGTTATTGTTATTATTGTTATATTTATTGTATTTTAGTCATATGTAAAATTTAATTAAAAAAAAATAAAAAAATAAAATATGAAAGCAAATGCCAAATAATGACTAAAGTGATTGTACAGTGAAGCAAGTGTTGGAGATACTACGGAACACCATGGGCACATTATTTCGGATTAGTTCCAATCAAGGTAAGAACATATGTCTATGAACATGTAATTTTAGATTTATTAAATATATAAATATATTCTTCTATATCTATAAAACTCAGTTTGTGTATGTGTGTTATTGTATATGCATTTCGGAATAAATAAAAACAGTTGCAGGAGAAATGCATATTGTCGAGGTTAATGTGCAACAAATTGTACAATTTTGTAAAAAAAACTGTATTGTCTTACTATCTTAGATTTAATTTTCTGGAATAATCCCAACATTTCATTCAATCAAAAAAAAAAAAAAAAAGATCTAAAATAAACAAAACTTGTTGTGTATGTGAAAGTCTATTTGACACTATAACAGCCTGTTCCACGATCTCGAAAGAAAATTTGTGCGAACGAAGGCAACTCACTCACTTTCGCATAAGAATGCGTTCCACTAACTTTCGTTCTTTCTTTCGCATAGCCTTACGTGATTCAGTGTTGCAAAATATTTTTTGGCAAAATTAATCGCGAAATAAGGCAAAAAAAGCGCCAAATGTCTAATTTAAACGCGAAAAAGCAGCAGTGGCTCTGTCTCAACTGACAGTTCAGTTGTAAACAAACAAATTGTAAATAAACAAACAAAATAAAATTTCTAGTGATTGTGTTTAGATTATTTGTGTTCTTAAAAAAGAAAAAAAATGAATATTTCTGTAGCCCTATTTTTTATGGATGATGAGGAGGAGGTTCAAATTGTGCCACGGAGGCATTTAAGAGATGCTTCGAATTTATTTGAAGTACCTAACAACCAGTAAGTATGATTGTATTTTTACATTTTTGAAATAATAAAAAAATGATTTTTTCTAGGTTTGTGTCTTCCAGTGGTCTTCATGGGATTGCCTGCTGCTTCCAAAAATTGGCACTCCTCTGGCGAACTTAGGATTCTCCCCCATATACTCAACTAGTGCCCGCAGCTGTGTAGTTTTTTCGTGCTGGAATTGAGAAAATAAAAAAATATATATTTGTTGTTCACAGATTAAATTGCATTTATTATTTTTACTTACATTTTTCTTTCCATTTTCAATCAAGGAATGTTTATGTTAAAACAATTTTCCTTAATTTTTATCATTCGACAGCAAACACACAAGTGACTGATTTTGACATTTGTGTTCGCATGCGTACGAAAGAAAAAAGATAGTGGAACGCAAAATTACACTGAAACGCTTACGTTTTCGTTCGCTTTGATTTTCGTGCAAATTTTCGTTCTGATGGATTTTAGTGGAACGGAAATCAGCTGTTTGTCGTGTAAAAGTTGTGCGAACGTGTTCTTTCGACATCGTGGAACAGGCTGTAAGACTCCGGTACAGAGTTGCATTTTTCCTATATTCTTGAAGTTGAGCAACCTTTTTAACTGAGCCATGAATAGTTTCTTCTGTGTTGTGAGAAATTTTCTTGCAAATTTCATCTAAACAAATTAGAAAATATCAGTCGGTTTTGCCGACAGATGTATACCCTCAGCCAAGACTTGGTTATTTAAATATATTTTGACTTCTGTTATGATTATTCAAATTGTCGACCCTCTATGGAGAAGGTTACGAAGGAATGGGTAAATATTGACAATTTCGTGTGGGACCTGAATACATATGATATAAATATTGCGACGTGCCTGGTTTGGACTATATTGGCTACTTTCTTCACTTTATATGAAATATATGATAAATTTTAGAAAATGTTGAAATGTGCTTTATGTACCAGATATAATCGACCGAAGTATTCCATTTCCATGCTTTATTTTATACATATAAAAATTTTGGTATGGGCAAAACTAGAAGAAAATTAAACATTTATATCCAATTTATGGAAATCATAAATTGCATCTTGAGATAAATGACTTCTGGTTGAGAGAAATATTTAGATATAGCAAGTTATAAAGAATAGCTGACTTGTTTCGCACGTTATGACAGAGGAAAGTATTGAAAATAGTGACCATTTTTGGGTAAGGTACCAGAAGGGGTTCACAGATATATATTATCCTCACAAGAGATCTTGAGCGTTTTGTTTTTCAAAATCTTGAACCCTATGTGGGCCAGGTAGAAAAAGAAATGGATTTGACCCATATATTCCACCCTAACACCTGATTTTGAGTTTATAATAATATTGTGAAGTTTGAAATGTGAAGACAATCGGACTCTTACATCACATTTTATAAGAGTTGTAATTATTCAAAATGTTAACCCTTTGTGGGAGAGGTACTTGATGAAGTGGACCGATATTGTCCATTTTCGCACCTGACGTAGAACTGACCTAAATATTAGGATTTGTAAAGTTGGAGCAGAATCGTTTCTCTTTCTGCGCAGAAAATATATATTTTTAAAATTTCGACCTTTTGTGGGGGAGGAGGTACCAAAAGGAGTAAACTGATATATTCCATCTTAACACGAGACCTTGGGTTAATAAAAATATTGGTATGTGTGAAATTTAAAGATAATCGGGCTCTTACATCACACTTTATAAGAATTGTACTTACTTGATGGAGTGGACCGATATTGTCCATTTTCGCACTGACCTAGAACTGACCCAAATATGAGGCCGTAAATATGTGCCGTAAATTATTTTCTTTGAAAATGTTTACATTTTGTGGGGGAGGTACCAGAAGGAGTGGGCCTATTTTGCCCATCTCCGAACTCGATCTAAGTTTGACAATACCAGAAGGAATGGACCGATATTGCCCATCTCCGAACTTGATCTAAGTTTGACAATAATATGACGATGTACCAGCCAGACATATAGACGGACGGACGGATATCGCTAGATCGACTCCAAATGTTCTGAAACGGATTTGGTCCAAAGAGACCTAGGGTCTAAAACCGTTATTTCGATGATGCACGTTTTAGCCGTATCAAATGATATTACCCTCTCTAGACATGTGGCTGAGGGTATATTAAAAATAATGGATCAAGTGTCATTCCATTTTTTGTTTTCATCATTTTGAGCTATGTTTCGCAAGTTTTTAGAAATGGATCATATTGGTCCATTTTTGTTATTGCCCATATATAAATGTAAACCCCAAATTCGTGCAATTGTTACGACATATTTTCGCAATATTTTTGTATTTTTAATGCTTACTATGTAGAAATATTCCTTTCACAAAATCAAACCATGTGCTGGTATAGCCCTTATACAAACGTACCCGTTGATTTTGTTATTTCGAGGGTATTTGTCACATTTTCCATTCGATTTGGCTTTATTTTGGTGCCTTGGTTTCCCCGGGCGTAAAACACTGTTTGTAATACATTTCAGGGAAGTGCCGGTATATATGTACCTCCTGAATTACGTTATTTCGGGTGTCTTGACCTATTTCCGGTTCGATTTGGCTGAAATTTTGATTTCCTTGGGGGATAAAATTATTTAATTGAAAACATGTCTTGATCTTCTTGTAGACACTATGATTTCTATATTCCTTCTACAGCTAGTTCTTCGATTGATAAAAGACACATAATATGGTCTTCCATAAATAAAATGCATGCATAGCGATCAGACTAGAATTCCTACTCCCGATCTTCTCTACAATATGTAAAATAAATAAAACTTCAACACCATCATTCATTTCCGAACATGTGCTTTTCTTTATTTTTACCTTTCTCATTCATATTTACTTTTCTTGCTTTGTTGGTTGTTATTATTATTATTTTTCATTCTTTTTTTATAATTATTTATTTATATATTATAATGTATTGTTGTAGTTGTTATTATTATTTGTTAAATTATTTTCATTATTTTATTTTGTTTTGTCTGTATAATTTAAATGCATTGCTATGTTTGTTTGTTGTATTTGTTTTTATTGGTATGGTGGTTAATGATGTGTATATGTGTGTGGGTGTGTGTGTCTGATGCTCATGAATATGTTAATGTATACGTGATTGAGGATGTATATGTATGGTTGTATGTATTTCCGCTGGCTTCATTTCCTTTGTTCTATCGTTCTATCGCTTTGTTGTCTTCTTTGTTTTTTTGGTGTTTAGGTGTCTCTATATAATCGGTGATTTCTTTTCGTATATTTTGTTTTGTTAGATTTCTTTGCTTTTGTTTCTTCTTTGTTTTCACTAAATATTTTTGCTAATTCGTACGTTTCTTTTACACAATCGTTTCTTCTTCTCGTCCTTTTCTCGTCTTGCTCATCGTGATCTCTGATCATATTACATGCAGTTACTTATGTTGATTATACATATGTATGGATGATTGTTATGTGAATAAATAGATCATAGGTTTATATACCAGGATTCTATATTTATAAATATATATATGCATATGTATGTATGGGTGTTTTGGTTTGTATGTATTGCATATGTGGGTGATGATTTAGCAGTGATTTGATGGGTAAGGGGGTGGCGCATTTGGTGAGCATGATTATATGTATGTAAGTATGCATATGTAGTTGTCAATTTCTTTTAGTTAATACTACAGTTTTTTGTGTGTGTGTCTGAATGTGTGAATTATTTGTTAGAAATTTTGTATTCAATATCTCTTTTTTTCTTAATTTTCATTTATTTCAAATCGAACCTATTTTTGTTTTTGCTTGGAATGAGAATAAATTTAATTTTTCTTTGGATATTTCAAAAAGCCAAAAGCGTAAATAAATTTTTAAATGAGGAACAAGAAATTATAAAATTTGTTAATTTTTTTCTTGGTTTTCTTTTTTTTTTTTTTTGGAAAAATTTGTTTTGATACTCTATTTATTTAGTTTAAAGTTTATGAATAGAATTTCCGTTAAATAACCGAATGGAAACTTGTTTTGCCTTTTGTTTTATCGAAAAAAATATCTAAATCATTGAAATTGTAATAGTAATAGAATTTGTTGTAATTTAAAAAAATGACTTACATACATACGTATTTGTTGGCTATTTTTTTAGTTTTGTTTTTTATGTTTGTTTTGTTTCCTATAACATTATTTTATTTTTTGTTTCATATCGGCATTTTTTTGGTATTATTATTTATTTGTTTATTTTGTATTTATTAATATTACTTTTTAATATAAATTTTAATATGTATATAAATATGATTTTGTGGTATTTATGTGTGTGTGTCTTATTTTGGTGTATATATAAATTTGTATAATCGGGTAGGTGTGAAGAAATGCAATATCTGTGGAACATTGAAAAATCTAAATTTTTAAATATTTTGTTTGGTATTTTCAAAATTTACGTTTGAAACATAAACAAGTATATACCATGAGCGGAAATATATTTGCGGAGGATAAATTGCACCTAATGATAGCCTAAAATATAAAGTAGGAGATTGAGGCAGAGACCTTCAAAATACCAAAAATTCTGAAGAAACTATTCGAAATAATCGACCTATATTGAACAAATACCTAATGAAAATCCGGGAAGTCGCTAAAAGTCAGGAGGTATCGGTATAAGGGGCTAGTGCAATTACTAGACTTATATGGAAATGTAGAATTGCAACTGAATTATTGTTGAAACTTCAAAATTACCTGGGGCTAAAGCAACCTTTCGAGAAGAAATTGAGCCTAATGAAAGCAAATTTACTACCATCCCATACGTATGAGTGATATTCCAAAACCTTGTCTTACATAAAACCAAACAAGTAAAAAAGTATCGGTCGGTTTTGCCGACAGATGTATATCCTCAGCCAATGTTCGATTATTTTAAAATATTTTGACTTCTGCTATGAATTTTCAGTTCGTAGCTGTCCTAAGTAAATATGACATAAATACAAATGACATGATAAATAAAAATGACAAATGACAGATTTATGACAGATGAGGTACCAGAAGGGGTTCGCAGATATATAGCATCTTCACAACAGATCTTGTGTTAGCAAAAATTTTTGTATGTGTGAAATTTGAAGAGAATTGGATGCTTATTTCGCTTTCGTTGAGCGTTTTGTTATTCAATAATCTTAAACCATATGTGGGGGAGGTACCAGAAGTAATGGCCCTATCTCTAACATCTTTATAACAGATCTTGGGTTGATGGGAATATTGGAATGTACCAAACCTGATAGGAATCGGATGTTAATTTGCCGTTTTATGAGCTTCATGGAAACTCAACATTTTGGCCCTTTGTGGGGGAGGTATTAGAAGAAGTGGGTTGATATTGCCCATTTTCGCACCAGACCATGGGTTAATAAAAATATTGTGATGTGTGTAATTTGAAGATAACCGATTACTAATTTCGGGTTTTAAGATCGTTTTTGTCATTCAAAAATTGGAACCTTTGTGGGGTAGGTACCAGTAAAAAGATCCGATCCCTACCATCTTTATAACAGATATTGTATTGATGGAAATATTCAGATGTACCAAGTCTGAATGGAATGGAATTTCCTGTTTTAGAAGCTTCATGAATATTCAAAATATTGATCCTTTTTGGGGGAGGTACCAGAGGGAGTGGACCGACATATTCCATCTCCACACCAGACCTTGGCTTAATAAAAGTATTGTGATGTGATAATCGGATTTGACAGTCGGACACTTACATCACATTTTATAAGAGTCATAATTATTCATAATTATACAAAATGTTGACCCTTTGTGGGGAAGGTGCTAGATGGAGTGGACTGCCCATTTTCGCACCTGACCTAGCACTGATGCAAATATTAGGATTAGCAAAGTTGGAGCAAAATCGGAGTATCTTTTCTCTTTCATACAATACTCCACTTTGTAGAAATGAGTTGTATGTCCTTTGTATATGTTCTCTGAAGAATACGTTTAGAAAATTTCCGAAAGTTAGGGCCTTAATAGAATTTAAATTTGACAATTAGTCACAATCACAATTGAAACCCTTCTGCAAGTCTTCTAGAGACAGAACACCTTCTGCACTTTTTCCAGAAATAGAGGTCACTAAATAAAAATGCCTTCTAGAGTTATAATTTTCTAATATTTTCCTTACATAGGAGAAAATTCAAATGTTTAATAATAACAGGAAAAATCCTGTAGATTATGAAAGGAAAGAAAAAAAAAAAGAAACATGTATGCCAAAAACAATAAAAACAAATATTTCTTTGTAAGGATCTTGTACACCTATGCCTTCGTGAAGGTCTGTGGTATATTTTCTACTATCTTTTTCTGAAAATTGTGTATTTCGGTTTTTTTTTGAGGGTAGAAAAAAATTCGGAAAAATCCTTAAATGCAAGGACTTCTATGAATCTTAATTCGAACATTTTTTGAAGATTGGAAAATTTGGAACAACTCTAGTTTAGTAAAAACTTTTAGATTTTGTCGAATTTTTTTCCCAGAGGTAGTTTTTTCACCCTGATTTCCGGGACACCATATTTTTGGCCCGAAAGTCCAGGTTCAAGACCCGAATTTATTAACCCGATATAGACAAAATAGGTATCGATTGAAAACTTATGAAAATACCTATCCAACAATTGTGACATAATTAAAATTATCCATTTTTTGCACCCGGATTTTTTATAAAAACCCCAAAAAGTCGAAAAAGGGCCCGTCCCAAAAAAAAAAAAAAAAAAAAAAATAAAATAAAATAAAAATCCAGAGGTAGGTATTTTCACAACGATTTCTGGAACCCCAGACTTTTGAACCGAAAGTCCGGGTTCAAGACCCGGGCTGGACCCGGATCTACATATCCGATATAGACAAAATAGGTATCGTTTGAAAAATTATGGAAATACCTATCCAACAATGGTCACATAATAATAAGTTAAATGAACGATTTTTTTGGACCCGGATTTTTTATAAAAACCCCAAAAAGTCGAAAAAGGAAAAAACTAGAGTTAAGCCGTCTTCTTTCATAATCTACTGTATTTTTCCCTTAATTATTTTTTGTGTCGCACAGTATTTTTGAACTCTACAAAGGCAAAAACATCGCCATGTGAATTTCACAATGTCTGTCTGGTATGGATTTCTGTGTGTGTGTGTGTGTGTCAGTGGGTATGTGTGAGAAAAAGTGTCTAGTGTTGTTTTCCTTTTCCTTTTGTTTTATCGACTAACATATACACATGCAATATATGTATGTATGTACATTAGAATGGTTGGTGTCTAGACTACAATCATCGTATAAAATTGTCATTATTTGGTATTTATTTTTTAATTATTTATTATTATTATTAATATTATAATATTTAATAATTTTTTTTTATATTAAATGTATTTTTTTTAATTTTATTTGTTGTTTTTGGTTTTGTAGGCAAAAATATATATGTTATGTTGTATGTATACATTATAAAATGAGTATATTTGGTTTGGTAGGACAACTACGGAATTGTATCAGTAACCGGCATAACTATTCTGCTTCAGCTTCATCTTCTTCATCTGGTTTTTGTTTCCTTTTGCTAGCATTTATTTCTCTTTATGAGATTTCTCTTGTTTTTGTTGCTAAATCAGTCACTTCCGTGTTGTGTTCAATTTTTTTTTTGTTGGTTTTACTTTCAAATTTTCTTTAAAAATATATTTTTGTTGTTGGTTTTAAATTTTGTTTTGTTTTTATTTTGCTTGAGTAGAAAATGAGCTAAATTATTTTTCTTTTTGTTGTTGTTTCTGTTCAGATAAGTTTTTGTTTTTTTAGATTTATATGTAATTATTTATTTTGTATTTGTTGTTATTAGATATTTGCATGGTTAGGTTAGAGGGGGGAAGTTTGAGAATTTTTCGAGCGGGGGCTCCAGAGTTTTGGGGAAAGCCTGGGAAATGTCTATGTGGTTACTTTTGGCCTTTTTTTTGCTCCATCATAATGAAAGCTCATCCCCTAGCTTTTGGGAATATCTGGAATGGCAGTCAATGCAGTGTCGTGTCAAGAACTCTGAATAGGAGAAAAGCAGGGTCTTTGGGTAGTGTCAGATTTTTTTAACCATTTTTGCAGGTTTTCCTTTTTAAAAGCTCAGCATATTTATGTATGTTATCATATGTTTCATAGTTTTACCTTTTGGGCGTTTGGGATATTTGTTTTTTCGGGGACTTTTTCTTTGGTTACTTTTAGCAGGGGTTTAGTTTTTAGAACAGGAATCGTTTAACGAGAATTTTCTTTCCATAGAAATTTTGGTATTTTCTTCTTTTGCTTCACAAATATTTAATTTGTTTTTTTTTATTAATATTATTGTTGTTATTGCAATTGTTGTTATATTTGTTGTTGTTGTTCTTGTTGTTGTTGTTTTAAGATTAATTTCCATAATAATTAATAGAATTAGAATTATAATAATAAATTGTTGCAAAGAAATGCTTAAAATTATGACTAGACTTAGTTTAGGGAAATACTCAGTAGATCATCAGTCGCATTCCGGTCCATCGGAGAAATGACCGCGCACATCGAGCGCCGTTGCCAGCTGGAATATAATATGCGACAATGTGGGATGCTCTAGCAGTTCATTGGATGGCAATGGTGGTTCACAGCGTGGTCTCATATGGCGTCCCCGGAAACCACGATGCAGTCTCAATACAACATCACAGAACACAAAGCGTAGTATGAGGGTACGTAAGAAGTCATCACCAAAGAATTGAACATACGATGAATCTGTAAGGCAATTGGAGAGAGGAAGAGAGAGTTATATAAAAATTAAATAATTGATTAAGGTCTAACAAAAACTCAAAATTATGTATACGACCTTCTAGATATAGAAGACCTTCTTAAGCTATTCTATATTTTAAAATCACAATTTTTTATAGATTCTAGATCATATTGAATTCTCGAAGTATGCAAGCGTACTAAATCATGTACAACAACTATAAAAGTTGTTAAGTTCCTTTAATACCCCCCATCATTTGGGAGGAATTTGCAAAATGTAACAAAGTCCGTTAAAAATGGTACTAGATTTTTTCCGAACATCAGCTGCTTCACTTATGTGGAGCTATAAGAAAACGTAGACCTCTAAAGCAAATTACCAGCCACCGATGGGGGTGTCTATAACATACTCCAAATACCAAGTTTGAGATAGTTCCGTTATATGGCAGCGATACGAAGACGGGGACGGGGGTATCGATTGCGAACTCCAAATTTTAAATAATTCGGGTGGAAAGTGGAGCCAAAATCATCAAAATATCGAACATAGAGAGGGGTTATACGATAACTTGGACCTGTACAAGCTATTACCCGTCATTGAAGGTGGTATCCATTACGACCTTCAAATACCAAGATTGATACGATTCCAGTGGAAAATGATGTACCCTCCATGCTATGTGTGGTGGAGGATGTAAAAAGGTTGTGGAGGAATTTTGATGAATTTAACGATATTATAAACCGAAATTTTCCAAATTTGATATTTTAAGTTCCTCATAGGTACCATGGTACAATGAAGAGAAGGTAGGTCAACTTTGAAAAAATTGCAAGTATAGAGGTCTACCTGTTTGGCTTGTAATGTCAGAATTAGTATCAAAACAATAAAAAAATCAAACAACTTGTTGCATTTATTTTGAATAAATAGTTGAAAAACGCGATAACTGAATGAAAGGTCAAAGGTCAAAGGTCTTTTCAAAATCATGTACTATATATCTCTAAAGGATTATTTCGCTACAAAAACTCTAGATTTTGTCGATGCATACGTTGAAATAAACATTTTGAAAACACCCGAATTTGAATATTTTCTGAACAATTTTTTTGTTATTGAAAAGAAAACACATACATAAACAAATAAAGATGACATATTAAGCCAAGAAAATAAAAAAATTGAAATCATATGGTAGTTCAAACAGAACATGCCCCAAGTCTTCGTGTAGCCCCTAAATATTGGCACCTCTCTATATTCTGTATTTTGATAATTTTAGCTACATTTTTCTCCGGAATCGTTTCAATTTTTGTATTTGCACTTCGTAATGGGTATAACAGCCTGTGACGGAAAATTACCTATGCAGGTCCACATCTTCGTATAAATCCCAAAATAACGGTAACTCTCCAAACATTCGGTATTTTTAAGATTTAACAGAGTTTTAACGGATTCTATTTATACCCTACACCACTAGGTGGTCAGGGTATTATGTCTTTGTGCATTTGTTTGTAACAGGCAGAAGGAAACGAGATAGACCCATAGTTCCTTTTGATGATCGGCATAGAATCACATTCTGAGTCGATTTAAGCATGTCCGTCCGTCCGTCTGTCCATGTATTTTTGTAAACAAAGTACAGGTCGCATTTGTTGCCCGATCCAGATGAAATTTTGCATAGATCTTTTGTTTGGCCCAAGGACGAACCCTATTGAAATTGGAGATAATCGGTCAAAATTTAGATATAGCTCCCATATATATCTTCGTCCGATTTGCCTTTTATTGTGCACCAAACGTGTAATATCAGCCCGAATTGTATGGAATTTTGCATATACACCCAAATTAGGCCTGAAAATATGTATGCCAAATTTGATCGAAATCGGTTCAGATATAGCTATAGCTCCTATATATATTGTTCATCCGATTTGTTATTTTTGTCCACCGCCGCCGTAATATACACTATGCAACAACAATATTTGGGGAAATATATCAAATACAGCTCAGAAATACATGTGCTAAATTTTATAGAGATCGGTTCAGATTTGGATATAGCTCCCATATATAACTTCGTCCGATTTACCTTTTATGTGCACCAAACGTCTAATATTTGTCCAAATGGGATGGAATTTGGCACTTACGACCGAATTGAGTCTAGAAGCTAGTATGTAAAATTTGGTGAAGATCGGTTCAGATATAGCTATAGCTTCCATATATATTATTTATCCGATTTGTTATATTTGTTACCCACAGCCGTAATATACACCCCGTAACAATGATATTCAGGGAAATACAGCTCAGAAATATATTTGCCAAATTTTATCGAGATCGGTTCAGATTTGGATATAGCTCCTATATATATATCTTTATCCGATTTCAAATTAATTGTCACGAAATAGGCAATACAATTCCGAATTTAAAAGATACAAATGCTTCGGCATATTTAGTCCTTTGAACTTTAAATTATAATTATAATCATAGCGTGTATGATTGAATTCTCCCATAAAAACTTTTAATTGTTATGTGGAGCTCTACTTAATTAGTGGTGTAGGGGATCATAAAGTCCGCCCGCCCGACTTTAAGACTTTCTTTACTGTTTTTTTTTTGAAATTTTCCAAATTTGCACTACCTACGATTTCTACCATATTGATAACAGATCTTGTGTAGATGGAAATATTGAGATGTACCAAGTCTCAGTGAAATCGGATGTTAATTTCGCGTTTTAAGAGCTTCATGGACATTCAACATTTTAACCCTTTGTGGGGGAGGTACCAGAAGGAGTGGACCGATATATTCCATTTCACAGCAGATCTTGTGTTAGAAGAAATAATGGGGTGTGTGAAATATGAAGAGAACCGGATGTTTATTTCGAATTTTATGATCGTTTTGGTTATTCAAAACTTTGATCCTTTGTGGGGGAGGTAACAGAAACAATGATCCGATTTCTACCATCTTTATAATAGATCTTGTGTTTATTGAGATGTTTCAAGTCTGAATAGAATTGGAAGTTAATTTCTCGTTTTAAGAGCTTTATGGTTATTCAAAATTTTGACCCTTTGTGGGGGAGGTACCAGAAGAAATGGTTCGATCTCTACCATCTTAAAAAAACCTTGTGCTAGTAAAAATATTGAGATATGCCAAGTCAAAATGGAATCGGATGTTAATTTTTCGTTCTATGACCTTAGTGAAAATGCTGACGTTTTTGTGGGGAACCGATATATTCCATCTTCACACCAGACCTTGGTTTGATAAAAATTATTGTGATGTGTGTAATTTGAAGACAATCGGACTCTTACATCAGATTTGACCCTTTGTGCGGGAGGTACTTGATGGAGTGGACCGATATTGCACCTGACGTAGCATTGATGGAAATATTAGGATTTTCAAAGTTGGAGCAAAATCGGATCATCCTTTCTATATCTGTGCAGTAAATTATTTTTATGAAAATTACGACCTTTTATGGGGAGGTACCAGAAGGAGTTTAATAATAATTTTACGATGTACCAAGTTTGGACCAACTCGAGTACTCCCTTCGAGAGTTATCGTGCGCTCCAGCCAGACAGACCGACAGACGGACGGACATCGCTAGATCGATTCCAAATGTCCTGAAACGGACTTGGTCCAAAGAGACATAGGGTCTAAAATTGTTATTTCGATGGCACGTTTTGGCCGTATCAAATGTTATATACCCTCTCTCAGCCATATGCTGAGGGCATAAATGGGCAATTTTGGGAAAGTTATGAAAAGCTATGGAAATTTTTGAAAAATTTGATAACGACGAATATAGAATGGAAACATCCAAAACGTTAATAAATATGAGTCTTAAAAATAACACGGATATGTACGAACAGAAAAGTTGTCCTTGCCACCTTAAGAAACATTAGTTACGACGAAGATTTAAAAGTTCCATTGACGCAATTAATAAACATGACCCCTGATGAAGAAGCTGTTCAAAATAATAATCAAATAAGGCAATTTTGGGAAAAATATGATATCATGAAATTAGTGGAAATATATAAAATTTGTACAAAAACGGATGACCTGAATGCACAGCAGAAGCCGGTAGATATGTAGATTTAAATGAAATAAACAGAGAAATTTAAAAAGAAGCTCAAAATTTAGGATATTTATTATAAGATATTGCAGATGTTTTAAGCCACTATCAAAATATTAAAGAAGAAATGTCGAATTTTGTCAAGAGACTTCACAAAAACCATTTAAGAAATTAAAAGAGCCCCCCTGATCACTTTAAGGAAGCTATAGATAATAAGTGTTTTAAATATTACAGGGATAGTCGGGAAGTCGAGGAGGTTTATCATGATTTTTGTCTTGACAGCATCAACTATGATGCACCATTGCATAGGGATTCTCTTAGAGGATGGTAGCCCTCCATAAAGGTCTATTTCAAATCGAAGATCAGCTATACAGGATTTAAACCCCTCTGGGTTAGGGGTTGAGGATTATTTTACTTCTCTGCTGTTTAGTGAAGAAATTGGAAAAATTATGGCGATCACTTGAGGAAACTTTTAATAACTGTCTCTGCCATAAAGAAAGCACCGAAGATGTTGATCCTATATATATGGAGAATGGGCTTTCGACTAGAGAACATATGTATTGCGCATAGGCGATAAAAATATTGTTGTCTAAATTTCAGAGCGATTTATATGTGTTCCTGAGCTCAACACATAGCAGTTCATTGCCCACGGTTGAGAATACAACTCCACATCGAGCCGAAGCTCTATCCTCGATTTGGGTATAAACAATAGCCTCCGCGTTGTACCCTAAACAGGGACCTCTCCATAGTCAGTCTAGATCAAAAGATCTAGGGGCTCATAGAAATTGCTACCAGGTTTGAACACGGGACTGGTTACCCTATATGAAAAAGAATTGTTGCAGACACGAATTAAGACATTCTTCAAAAAAGTAACATCGGAAACACTTAAATTGAGAGCGGAACAGACGTCTTCACAGTCGATGGTATCCAAATGGTGTTTCCAAAAATATAGTCATCTAAATCTGAACATTAATGAACATTTCAATATCTTGAACTCAGATTGAATTCAAAACACCAACCAAAAATCGATTTTCGTCACCATTTTTCAGTCCCTATGTCGACGTACATCGAGTCATTCCTGTATCCTCTACAAAGGAATTTATCCACCTCCCAATCTTACCTATATATCCTTGGTCAATTTCATCTATGCGACAGCGTGTTACTAAACGGGAAGCTTCTGTTATGAAATGATCCACATACGACTGGCAGCGTTCCCAATGATGGATGGGCACATCGCCAACATTACAGATGTAACACAAAGCGGTGAGAGGGGAGTGCAGGAACAATGTAAACAAGGAGCCATGGTGTTGGACTTCAGCTAAAATAGAATAACAAAAATTAGAAATTAATATTTCTAAAAAAATTACAATCTCCTACCCTGAAAAGCTGGTGGTACATCCTGAGGTGACATGAGCACAACCAATGGTTGGCCAAAATAACGGGGTATATGCTGAAACACAAACGAATTATCCGAATCGATAATAATGAACATGGGCCGTCGGGTGAAGGGATATAAATCGCCTGGATACAGACAATGGGTTTCCTTGTAGGATTTCCCTCGACACGCCAGACCGCCGCCATCAACACCATCGCGTTTGACACTTGTGGCCAGGCCACCTAATTCATAGCCATCTGAAGAAAGGGATATATTTTATATTACAAAGAAGAAAGAAAAGTATTTGGGACCTACAATCTTCGGGATGTTTGGTGGTGGAAAAACAGCCATCTGCCGACATGTATAAGAGTAAGGCGCCTCCCGGAGGCAATTCTTTAAAACCGCTAGCTAAGAACACCAGAAGTTGGCTAATCGAAGGCTTATACAATAAATACTTATGAGGATTGTCACGATAATGGCGGCTATTTTCCAAATAGCCCTTGGAACCTGGAACACCGTATGGTGGTATACGACTGGCCGCTGGACTGGCATCGTGTCCATGCATGCCATGTGAAACACTCATAGGATGTGTGGTTTCTGTTGGTTCCCGTTCTAGTGTCTGTAACATTCTGTCGAATTAAAAAGAAGAAGAAGAAGATTGTGTCCATAATTCATCTGATTTTGAAAGTGAGTAGATGGCTTACCTAAACATATCCATTGTTAGCTCCGAAAATTTGGCCTGTTCGCATGCCGAGCCCACAATCAAGATCTCCTGCAGGCTCAGCGTCATGTGCGGTGATCTTTCGCATGGCGGTGTTGTTAGCGGCGACAACCTAGAACCGGAACCACTACTCATCAATGGGTGAAGTTAACCATACTAAAAAAGCTCTTGCTAAGGCCCGTGCTTTCACAGAAGAATTGATTTGATGTGATGCTAATGAGACACTTGTGATTTCTTTTTTTTTTTTGAATTTTCATCTTTAGGTGGAGCGTTTGATGGCGACACTCGATGTGGCAGCTACTTTAACAACCTCCGTTTTTTGTGAGGTTTTTAATTTAGAGTTGTTAGTGGTCTGCCACATTGAGCGTCGTATCGAACACACAAACATACACCTTCTTATAACAACTTGTTTAATAATTTTTATTTATTTTTTAATTATTTATTCTTTTATTTTTATTGATTTTTTTTCTGAACAAAAATGAAATACTGAACGTGCAAGAATTTTTGTTAGTTTTGATTTTAGTATTTTCATGTACAATTTTTTTTTTGCGATATTTGATGGTGATTAGTATTAGAAAAGATGCGATAGAGATAATATAGAAAGAAGTAGGGTACTTTTTTACGGAAAAGAGAGACGAACCTTAAGCCATTTTTCAACATAACGGGTCATATTGCAGTTTCAAACAGTTTCTGTTCCGAACTTTGAATACCCTTTGGAATGAATTTGGCAATTTTCAAAAAAAAAAAAAAAAAAAAAAAAAAAAACAACAAGTTAAAAACCCTCTTTGAACCCGAACTTTGAATACCCTCCACCATTTAGAACGAATTTGGAAATAAAATTCTAAAAAAAATTCGGTTAACTTTTTAAAAATACCGAATATAGCTGTTATATTGGTGTCTATACGACGTGGACCTACATGGGCATTGTTTGTCATAAGTCATTACCATATTCAAATTCGAAATTTGGAATAAACGGTGAATAATGCAGCTAAAATCATCAAAATATCCTAGATAGGGAGGTAGCGTTATATCGGAGCTGTGCGAAGACCTGAACCAGCATAGACAATTTTCTGCCATAGGCTGTAGTATCCATTACGAACTTCAAATACGTGTCTCAAACAATGTCGGTGGGCATTGTACCTAAACTCGTCAAAATACCGAATATAGGAAGGTACTGGTATGTGGGCCCTATACGAAGGCCTAGACCGGTATAGACATTTTTCTGTCACAGACTGAAGTTCTCATTACGAGCTCTAAATACGTAATTTGAAACAATTCCGGTGAATAATAACGCTAAAATCATCAAAATACCAAAATACCGATGCTGTCATTTCTGAGCCACTCGTCCGACAGCTGTTAAAATGATTCCAGTGACAGCTGATTGTATTGCTTACAAGCGTACAAAAGCATTTTGGTGAGAATTTTTCAGAAAAAAAAAGTTATTCGTCATGGAATTCAGGCGTGGTGGTGGGATTTCTTTATATTTGGCTAGAAAACCACAAGTGGCTATCGTTAGAGCTCTCCAGCATTTAAATGTGAATAAATCCTTTGTGTCTCGTACCATCGTTCGTTACCGTGATACTGGTAGCGTAGCCCGACGTCATGTGGAAGTTGACGGAAGAAAACAGCAACATCAGCAGAAATGGTTCGAAAAATAATGAAGCGACCTGATCTAAACCCGCGTAGCGGTGTCTTAAAAATGGCACGTGAGCTGAACATATCGCAATATTCCATTCGCCAAATACTGAAAAATGAGCTCGGGGTTAAGCTATTGAAATTCCAAAAACTGTGAACTGACGAATTTGATTTTCTCCGATGAGAAAATATTCGTTGTCCAGCAGTTTGTAAACAGGTCAGCTGCCAACACTAAGCAGCCGATGGTCACTATCCGCTCGTATTAATCGGTAAATGTAAAAAAATGAGCTCGGCGTAAAGCCATTGAAATTCCAAAAAGTACAAGAACTTACACTGCAACAGAAAGAAAATCGACTCAAAAGAGCTAAAAGAAGAGTTGCTTCGCCTGGGCGAAAGTGGTGAACTGCCGAATTTGGTTTTCTCCGATGGGAATGAAACAAAGAAAAAGATCGAGTTTACTTGTCAAAGAGGTCAGCTGAAACTGTATACCTTCGGTTGGCCACTGTGGCATCAGAATAAATGCCGAATATTGTCGCGAAAATATTCTAAAGGGTGTATTAAAGCCTTGGGCACGCAAACATTTTGGCCGCAGACCTTGGGCATTCCAACAGGACTCAGCACCATGGCACTCAGCACGCGCCTCGTATCAATCGACCGTGGCATCAGAATAAATGCCGAATATTATTGCGAAAATATTCTGGAGGGTGTATTAGAGCCTTAAGCACGCAAACATTTTGGCCGCAGGCCTTGGACATTCCAACAGGACTCAGCACGCGCCACCCAAGAATGGTTACAAAATGAGGTTCCTCGCTTCATTTCCAGCGTGCTATGCCCACCAAAATCTCCGGATACCAATCCGTTGGACTATTATATAGTGTATGGAGTATTTTGGAAAGCAAGATTGGCACTAAAAAAATATTAAAGTGTCGATCACCTCAAGCAAGCGCTTAGCCGGGAATGGGCCAAAATACCGCAGAGCAACATTCGGGCAGCGTGTGACGGTTTCATTGGCCGTTTGAAGGCCATAATTCGTGCCGAAGGTGACCAATTCGAACAAATCTAAACTTATTCTAAAATTTGATGCTATTTCGGACATTTAAAAAGGATGTAAAAATTATGGCGTTTTACTTTGTTTGCAGTTTTTTTTTTATCTCACCCTGGAAATACTTTGTTGGGTCTAAAAAGTATATTTCGAGGTGTTACAGACGGAATGGCTAATCAGTCTCAAATATGTGTGAACGAATTTGTACTCATATTCGTGGGAAGCGTTGTGTTCATTGTATTCATCTATTTCTGAGGGCATTGTGTAATATACGAAAAAACGGCATGGTGTTTGGATACACTAAACACTCCGAAAAAGTCGTATTGCAAACCAGATTAATAACCCATTATTTTACGCGGACATGCCGGTAAAAATAATCAGTTATTCCTGGACCACAAATAAATAGTTATCCTTTGGCTACTTCATCGAATAACTATTTATTTATTAAGAAATTTCGGGCCCAGGATTGTTAACGTATATAGGACATTTCCTGCCGTTTTTCCGGCCGGCCCATGGTAGAATTACGAAGGCAACCTCACTCCAAGTAATATATAGATTGCCGTTCAGTTCTGCTGTCTGTTCGCACCTTTTCTAATTATCATCACAATTAAACAATAATTTTCTGATATGTATGTAAGTGTGTTTGTTGTGTGTTAAGGTGTTTGAAAATTGATTGGTAATTGGTGAGTGTGGATGTGTTTGCTGAGCGAGAGAGTGAACGAATGAGAGAGTGAGTGAGTGAAATGGAAGGAAATGGAGTTGATGGTTGGATGGAATGATTGAAGAGATGGATGACGTGTTAATAGTAATGACAGTGACAATTGGTTAGTTTGGCCGGTAATGGAATGGAGCTGGAGGGGGTGGAGTGGTGAGTGGTGACATTTGTTGTTTCAAGTCTTCTGTGATAAGCACAATATTATAATAAATACTGCCATTTAAAAAAGTTTTGCATACAATACTACAATATATAAGAGAGTTAGAGGAAATTATTTCAAAACTAATATTGGCTCAAAAAAGAGGGGGGTTAATTGTTAAACAAAAAAATCGAAACAAAACTTAAAATGTAAGCATAACTTGTATACCTCCCAAAAATCATAAATTTACGAGTTAATTTGCTTTTTTTTGGTTCAACTTTTTTGATTTAGATTTCAAAAATTAAAAGGAAATAAAGAAAATTTGAAAAATAAGGATTTTTTTTTGCAATAATCGAAAGAATAAATCAATCTGTCTACTAATTTTCTTGGTTTATTTTTACATTCAATTTTTCCTTCCCAAAGAAAGCACGGGCAAAATATTGGGTAAATTTGCCGAAATGGCTCTGGCTAAAAGTACCTGTGTGATAGTACGATGGGATTGGAATCCGCATGAAGAACGGCCACAGCTGCTTCGGCTTTAATAAAGCCCTTGATCTCCTCCAAAACTAATGACCATTCTAAATGGTCTTCAGGTTCATAACTGGAAACATTAAATCAATATGGCATTAAAAATTCGAATATATTTTGAGAATAATAGAAGAATGTTGAGTATTTCTTACGTGGTGGTATATTCCTGTATTTGTTTTTCCAATTCGGTCACCAATTCTCGCACCAATTTCATTTTCTTCAGCAGCAAACAAACCACAATAAAACGTGCATAATAGCGCAGCTTTTTCACCATCAAATCGGGACGATCTTCTTTGATCGCTCGCGAATAATAGGCTCTACCTCTAATAGCTGCATAAAATTGATACGCTTCATTCAGGTAATTCGTTTCGCTGGTTCTTAAACTGCAAAGAAATATCAAAGGCGAATGTTATGGAGATCTTTTTTGTTTTTGTAGAGGTGGGGGCTTCACTCACTAGTAATGATAGTAAAGCTGTCCAATTTTACTTGCAATTTCACCAATTTGCCACCGTTTCAAACCGTATTTCGAATCCAGTACCATCCGATGCTGTTGCTGGAATTTCCATAGTTTCGTGTAGACATCGAATGTTCGTCCAAAATAGGCCTGCCACTGACGATGTCCATATTGTGGTAAATCTCTGAAAGTAGGGAAAAGGAAAATCTTCAATAAATTTCTAATTCAAATAATGGATTTTGAATTGATTCAGTGTTCTCTATTATATTTTTATACCCTCCACCTTGGAAATGAGGGTATATTAACTTTGTCATTCCGTTTGTAACATCCTTAAATATTCGTCGTAGATCCCAAAAAGTATATATATTCATAATCAGCATAAAATTCTAAGTCGATTTAACTATGTCCGTCTGTCTGTTGAAATCACGATACAGCCCACAATATTTGACGTAGAGCGCCAAAATTTGCAATTTGTATTGTGTCTAGGATGGTTGGTATTGAAAATGAGATATATCGGTTCCATTTTGCCATGGTTCCCATATAACGGTACCTTCCGATATTCGGTATTTTGATGATTTATGCTACATTTTTTTCACGGATTTGTCTGAAAATTGGTATTTGTAGGTCATGACGGGTCCCAGTTCGTGTGGCGAGACATTGCATGTATAGGTCCACGTATTGGTATAGCCCCCGTATAAAGGTACCTCCCGATATTCGGTATTTTGATTGTTTTTGCCACATTTTTTCACGGATTTCTCTAAAAGTTGGTATTTGTTGGTCATAATGGGTTTCCATCTCCGGTGGCAAAACTTTGCATGTATGGGTTCTCGATTTGGTATAGCCCCCATATAACGGTATCTCCCGATATTCGGTATTTTGATGGTTGCCACATTTTTTCACGGATTTGTCTAAAAATTGGTATTTATAGGTCCTAGTTCGTGTGGCGAAACATTGTATGTGTAGGTCCACGTTTTGGAATAGTCCCCATATAACGGTACCTCCCGATATTAGGTATTTTGATGAGTTATTGACATATTTTTTCAGAATTTCTCAGCAAATTGGTAGTTGTAAGTCATAATGGGTCCAAGTTCGTGTGGCGAATCATTGTAATTATAGGTCCACGTTTTGGTATAGTCCCCATATAACGGTACCTCCCGATATTCGGAATTTTGTTAATTTTTGCCACATTTTTTCACGGATTTGTCTGAAAATTGGCATTTGTAGGTCATAATGGGTTCTAGCTCCTATGGCAAAACATTGCATGTAAAGGTCCACGATTTGGTATAGCACCCATATAACGGTACCTCCCGATATTCAGCATTTTAATAGTTTTTGCCACATTTCTTCACAGATTTGTCTAGAAGTTGGTATTTGTTGGTCTTAATGGGTTCTAGCTCTTTTGGAAAAATACTGTATGTATAGGTACACGTTTTTGTATAGCATATATATTCGGAATTTTGATGAATTTTGGCACATTTTCCCATGAATATGTCTAAAAATTGGTATATGTGGGTGATAATGGGCTCTAATGTTTCCTTTACCCTAAGGTGGAGGGTATTAAAAGTTTGGACCGGCCGAACTTAATGTTTTTTTACTTGTTCCCTCAAAAATTACTCTAAAAAATATTCTCGATTTATGGTTTACAGTTCAGGATTAAATAGCTCACTAATGAACTAGTTCTGATCAGAATCATCAAAATATCAAGATCCTAGGAAAATATTCCCATGACCTTCATGTACATTGAGAAGGCCTTCAGTTTTGTTTCCCAGAATGGTGTTCTGTAGTCTGAATACTTCCCAATTGTAGTCAGCTAAGTTAAACAGCATCCAGGCTCTTCAAAAGGACCCGCTAAACCCTTATGCAGTTGGTTGGAATAAGGTCAACTGTCTACCCCATACCCTCTAATGTGGTTAATCGTATTCTTTCCAACTGCTCTACGAGTGCTAGCCTTGGGTGTTTGCTACAACTTTCGAATTTTCTCCCGTCATCGGGCACTGTGTGTTTACTGAGTTGTACGAATGTTCCTGCTCTGTGTGTATGAGAATGAATGTGAAATGAGTGTGTGGTTTGGGGCCTCTAAGCCCGTTTGTTCAGCCTAGGCGTGTATAACAGCCCCAATTGGAAGTAGCTAAGTTACCAGATCTGACCAAGGGTATTTTTGGTACCACAGGTGGCGGGGACTCACAGGGAATCTCAACTTTATTGCCCCACCATCACAGATCCTTCAGATCTTGTTCGGGGCACTTTCAAACCTATTCGGTTGCTGTTCAGAGGGGAAGAGCTGAATAGTCCTCGCTCCTCGCAGACTGATCCATCATCGTGCCTTTGCTGTATGGAACAAAAACTGGTAGTAGTTTCGACTACAAACTCTGATCGGCGACTCTTCCAATTTCGCGGGTATGAGGACCCTTAGATCGGTTGATTTAGCCCAACTATGAAGATTTCCTAGTTTTGGGTTTTTATCCAAATGATTGATCAAATGTCTCTCTACAATTTCCTTTTTCCTTATTTTCTTTCGCATCTTCTTTCGTTATATATCAGTCTTAGCTTTATAGTTTTCATTGTGACGCCATTAACCACTCTCTCTCTCTCTCTCTCTCTCTTTCTATCTTTGTGTATGTCCAAATTTACGAATAGACGTGGTTACCTTTTCGTTGGTATATTGTAGGATCTAAAAATGCGAGTGAGTGAGAGGTTGACCAGCCTGACAACAACTCGAGTGCTTTCGAGCCGGTAAAATTCCTACATAAAACCACTCTTTATAAACATTTTTTTCCGGAGACCAAATATTATCTTTCCTGGGTTGAATGGACGGGATTGTTTTGTAATAGAAACTTTGGTTCGTTTTTCCCATAAGAGTTTCGGTTTATTGCTTCCACAAGAAATATATTTTCTGTACCCCCATAATTACGGACTCGCAGAAGTTCAGATTCGCATTCATATTTCATAGAAATTTCTGTTCGCTGTTCCCACAGGAGGTTCGACTAGTTTTTCCTACAGAAGCTTCGATTAGTTGCTTCTACAGGATCTTTAGCTCGATGATCCCACAGAAGCATAGGTTATTTATTTTCACAAGAATTTTGGGGTTTCGTTTCCACGGGATTGTGGCCACGCAATTCTCTCTCTCTCGGACTTACTGTTCCCACAGGAACTGCGGTTCGCATTTTTAACATAAACTTAGGGGACCAAACTAAATTGTGAAAAATGTTTGGAAATTATGTTTTCCGGGAAAACAGGATATGTTCTTCTAAGTTTTGCGACTCGTCGCCCAATCTGGCAAATTGATCTAAATGTCGTGGAAAAGCAAGGCAGGATAAAATACTTTGTGGTCATATTTCATAAGAATCTACACTTCATAGGTCATATTGACTTTATTCGGGCCAGAGCCAAAACAAAGACTGATGAAGATGCGAAGTGGAATAACTCCCTAAGGCTTAGGAAGTAGGAACGTAGTGTGCTGGCTTCATGTTTATAGATGAGATGTATCAGGTGGCATTCAAATGTAACTATCTTTCATGGGGCAAATGGGAAAAGAATTGACAAGGTCTTGAACTCAGAAACACCGAAATTCGTAGACAGTTCTGATAGACTTAAGAACTTAAAGATTGCCAAGTTTTGTGACGTACCATCAGGTTCTGCAAATTGGTCTTAATATTGGGAAAAGCTGGACAGGATAAAATACCTTGGGATTATCTTTCATAAGAATTTTGACTTCAAACGATATATAGGCTATATGCTGGCCATAGGAAAGAAGGTCTTTTTCTGCTACCAAGGGCAAATGAAAATTCGAGGTGAGGTAATACGACATATTTTTGCCTACGCTTTTCACCGTCTAATATTTAGTCATTAAGGAATTTTTAGATGGTATTCAAAAATGCCAATCTATGACAGGTGGAGAATGGACAGGTGGAGAATGGATTGACAGTGGTTTGTATTTAGAAGCGCTGAAGTCCTTATACAGATCTGACGAATTTAAGAATTCTGTGATTGACAAGTTTTGCAAAATAACGAGAAACTCAGGATTGGATAAAACATCTTGGGGTCATTTTATAAAAATTTTGACTTCAAATGATATAGACTTTATTCTGGTCAGGGATAAGAAGGGCATTTGGCATTTCGTCAAGGCAAATGGAAAAACATTAACTTTTCCATGACGGAACTGATGGCTAGAACATCGAATATATTACTAGTTGAGAATACCAATAAATGGTCTAATCTTTACAACAGAAACGGTCTGATTTCTACCACAAACAAATCTCGTGTTGATGAAAATATTGAGATGTACCGAATCTGAATGAAATTTGATGGTAATTTCGAGGATATTCAAAATTTTCATCCTTTGTGTGGGAGGTACCAGAAGGAGTGGACCAATAAATCTTTACCATCTCCACAGCAGATCTTCTGTTAGTAGAAATAATGGAATGTGTGAAATATGAAGAGAACCGGATGCTTATTTCGGATTTTATGATCGTTTTTGTAATTCAAAACTTTGACCCTTTGTAAGGTAACGCAGCGATTGGTGCGATCTCTACCATCTTTATAACAGATCTTGTATTTATGGAAATCTTGATATGTGCCAAGTCTGAATGAGATCGAATGTTAATTTCGCGTTTTATAATATTCAAAATTTTAACCCTTTGTGGGGGAATACCAGAAGGAATGGATTGATATAATCTACCCTCACTCCAGACTTCGGGTTAAGAAAAATATTGTAATGTGTGTAATTTGAAGACAATCGGACTATCACATCACATTTTACGAGAGTTAGACATCTTTTAAAAATTGTTGACCCTTTGTGGGGATGTGAGGAGGATGGAGTGGATCGATATTGTCCATTTTCGCACTGATTCAAATATTAGAATTTGCAAAGTTGAACAAAATCGGATCACCCTTTCTCCTTCTATGCAGTAAAATATTTTTGTGAAAATTTCGATCTTTTGTGGGGGAGGTACCAGAAGGAGTGGACGAATATTCCCCATCTACGAACTCGATCTAAGTTTGATAATAATATTAGGATGTAGTAAGTTTGGACTAAATATGATACACCTTTCGAGAGTTTTCGTGTACAGCAGCCAGGTAGACAACTAGATGGACGAACACCTCTGCCTCTGAATCGGATTTCGTCCAAAGAGACCTGGGGTCTAAACCATTATTTCGATGAGGCACGTTTATATATACTCTCTGTAGCCATATTGTTGAAGGTGTAAAAATATTGGCGTGTTTTTTTATTTCCGAAATCGGTATTCAATGACATTTTTCAAATATTCCAAATTTTTCACTTTCGTTTTTCAAAATAACAACACCAACAAAATATTATAAAATCCAAAAAAATGCTGACTCACCTTAAACCATTGAACAACTGTTTGGACTTCTCCAGCAAATGTATAAACTCCAAAACCAACTTTCTGTCCTGTTCTTCTGTGGATTCCATTTTCACCATACCGTTCTTCGATTCAGTAGTGTTATGTTGCTGTCGTTAAAGAACTGTAAATGACCAAATAAAACAAAATAGTGAGAGAGAGGCAATGAAAAAAAACAATAACAACAACTGTGAATATAAATTGAATGAGAAAATAGTAAAAGTCCTGGCGATAGGAGAGAGGCAGGGAAGTAGGGTAGCAGGGCTGACATATTCAAATTATATTGTAACACAACAGCTCAGCCAGCATCCAATAACGGCGACAACAGAGAAAAAAGATTAATTAAAATTGATAATTAAAAAAAATGGCAAACACCGAGAGAGAGAGAGAGAGAGAGAGAGAAGGAGGCAGTGAACAAAGACAATGACAACAAAAAAGGAGCAACAATGTCAGTGGGTTTGTCGAACACCGAGTCTCGTTTTAATGGCAATGTTAAGGAGGAAGGGCGTGAGGTAGGAGGGGAAATGGGGATAACTATCGATGTAAATTTAAATGTCGAACTGCCATCGTGGTTGTTGTTGTTTTTGTTTCTCATCTAGGCAGCAGACCTAGATTTTGTGTTAATTGATGTTGGCCAATTGATGTCTGTCCACCACCACTTGCTGCTGGCCAGCTCTCTCTGTGTGTGTGTTTGTCACTTAGTGTTACCAAAACAATCTCATTTTCCATTCAATATAAACTGCTGGAGGAGGCTTTTTATGCTTTGTTGTTTTTCTGTTTTGTTTTTGTTGTTGTATGGAAGCACTTGTAAATGGCAACAATGGATGGCAGTGGTGATGCTGATGGACTGGCTGACTGACTGACTGTCCCCCAAACGTTACAGTGTTCTCCAACTACACTATCAAACACTAAACGCGCCTTTATTGTTTAACTGAGAATGTGAATGACAGACGTAGAAAAAAATGAATAAAAAAATCCAAACAATAACAACAACAACAATTGCAAAATGAAACTGATTTTCATTCAAAAGCCATTCACCACAACATCTACTGCCTGCCTTCTAGGTTTGAATGCGGCGCGTAGTATTACTCAGGCGACCATAAACCAACCCACCCACCATCTACTGCCCCCTCAACCACTTTCCAACAAACAATGTGAGATTCAATAATTTCTTTGTCTGTCGTCGTCCTCCCCCCCACCGCCACTTGTATCTTGTGAGTTGTTTGATGATGCATAAGATGATGATGGTGATGACGACGACGGCGACGATGAAGATGACATCATGGGACAACCCCATATCAGATTTCCCCCTTTGCCCGGTAACAATGATTTAATTTTTTTACGATGGCCCCATGAATACTAGGAATTGTTTTATGGGGGACAGTGGGTTCCAAACAAAATAAAAAAAAAATAAAATTTGCAAATAAAACATAAATCACAAATTTTTAAAATAATTTTGCAAGGACTATTAGACCAATAAACAGGGATTTTTATGATCATCTTTTAATCAAAACTGAAGTTTTGGGGATATTTTTCCAAGGACCAATATATCACGAAAAGTGGACTTTTTGCAAAGTGAAATAAACAGAAAAATATATAAAAATATTTTTTTTCAAGGACCAATGAACTAAAAAAAACATAGCTTATTCGAAATTTGTTTCAAGAATCAATATACTTACAAAAGTGGGTATTTTAAAGAAATTATGCCACGGATTAATGGTTCCAAAATTATACATATTTTATAAAATTTCAAGAAACCTCAGCTCGATCAACTCTCTTGACTTCCTTATATTTTATTTAAGCCTACAAACGTCCTTTTTATAAGAATTTATTTCAAGGACCAATGGGTCAACAAAGTAGGATTTTAAAACACATTTTTTCTAAGGACCAGTAAAAGGGGTTTATTTCTGAGACCAATAGACAAAAAAAAAAAACGTATATATTTTTTGGAAATGTTTTCAAGGACCAATAGACCAACAATTTGGATTCTGAAATTCTTTCAAGGACCAATAGGACAAAAAGTCTGGATTTTGCGGAATAATGTTTATTTTTTAAGAATTCTATTCAAGGACCAAAAAACCTAGATGTTGTATGAACTTTTAAACTATTTTTCAAGGATTTGAAGTGGGTTTTAACGATTATTTTTTAAGCATCAAAAGACAAACTGATGCTGATTTTTAAAACAGTTTTTCCAAAGACAAATGGATTAACAAAATTATTATTTTTTTTTTAATTTTTCAATATCAAAATACGAATATATAGAGACTTTAACAAAATTTTTATAAGGACCCTTTTACTGGAATGTTTTGATTATTAGATTACCAAACGTGGATTTTGGGGACATTTTTAAACAAATATTATTGCTCTATACTTGGCAAAATTTAAGATAGAGCTTTAACATTTCACACAGACCTTTGAATTGCATGTAGTGTCATTCGTGCAAAATATGGGCCATGCTGCTCCACGTTCTGGTATAGCCTGCATATAATTTTTTTACAAGCCAATAGACCAGGAAACGTGGTATTTGTTAGATTTTTTTCAAGTACTAATAGATAAACAAATTTTTATTTAACCATAGTGTATTTTAAAAAAGTATGAAAAAAACAAAGTGGATTTTTAAACATTTTCTTTTCAAGGACCAAAGGTGATTTTTTTTAGGATTCATTGACCGGATGTGAATTTTTAAGGCCATTTATTAAGAAACGAACTGGATACCTAAACGAATATATTTACATATATATATATTCATATCTGTTTATTTTCAGGAATAATATTGGGTCTTATGAACAGTTTATCAAGGACCAAAGGTGGATTTTTAAGGACAAACCCCTGAAAAGGATATCTTTCAGGTCCAAAACGTCGAAGTTTTAAAGAAACTAAATTTGATTTTTGTTATTTTATTTTTTATCAAGGACCAAAGGCAGATTTTTCTAAGGGTAATTTTTCAGGGAACAAACTTGGATTCATTAAGGATATTTTTTGAAAAACGAAACGTGAATTTTATAAGGATCAGCGTGGATTTTTACGAATATTTTTTCAAGGACAAAACGTGGACTCTTTAAAGGCATTTTTTGAAATGCCAAATGTGGATTTTTGAAGGACATTTTTTGGAACTTTGATTTTTAAAATCATTTTTTGAAGGACCAATTTTGAAGAACCAGACATTTTTTGAAAAACCAAAGTGATTTTTTATGGTTATTTTAAAGGACCAAACCTGCATTTTTAGGTTATTTTTTGAAGGACCAAACGAGAATTTTTTGGGTTGTTTTTTGAAGAACCAAACGTGGATTTTTTAAGGGCTTTTTTAAAAGAACAAAACGTGTTTTTTGAGGACATTTTTAAGGACAAAATGTGGATTTTTAGGGACATTTTTTGAAGAACAAAACGTGGATTTTTAAGGACATTTTTTGAAGAGCAAAAAGTGGATTTTTAAGGAAAAAACGTGATTTTTTTGAGGACCAAACGTGATTTTTTTATAATACTTTTTTAAGGAACAAACGGGAATGTTTTTATAAAATTTTTTTAAGGACCAAACGTGGATTTTTTATAATATTTTTTCAAAGAACCAAACGTGGATTTTTTATAATATTTTTTCAAGGACCAAACGTGGATTTTTATAACATTTTTTTTCAAGGACCAAATGTGGATTTTTTATAACATTTTTTTCAAGGACCAAATGTGGATTTTTTATAATATTTTTTTCAAGGACCAAATGTGGATTTTTTATAATATTTTTTTTCAAGGACCAAATGTGGATTTTTTTATAATATTTTTTTCAAGTACCAATGGTGAATATTTTCAGGAACCAAAAGTAGATTTTTATGGATATTTTTTAATTATATTTTTTTAAGGACCAAGGTTATTTTTTAAAGGAAAAAACATGTTTTGTTTCGAGGACCAAGCGTGGATTTTTTGTAATATTTTTTTTCAAGGACCAAACGTGGTTTTTTTATAATATTTTTTTAAGGACCAATGGTGAATATTTTTAAGAACCAAAAGTGGATTTTTATGGATATTTTTTAAGGACCAAACTTGGATTTTTATGGATATTTTTTAAGAACGAAATATGTATTTTTTTACCTGCCACTTTTTCATACCCTATATAGAGGGTATGTATATACAGCCAAAACGTGCCTCATCGAAAAAAACGACTTTAGACCCTAGGTCTCTTTGGACCAAATCGGTTTTAGGACAATTGGAGTCGATATAGTCGATGTTTGTCCGTCTGTCTGGCTTATGTGCAAGATAACTCTTGAAGAAAGTATTCGATTTGGTTCAAACTTAAAACGAGTTCAGAGATGGCCAGTATCGGTCCAAAAGATCGAATGTTTTACAGTACCTAGTTTATATTATTGGCCCAGACGGGATCATCCAATTTTATGCTAACTTTGCCACTCTATCAAGTACCTCTTCCACGAAGGGTCAAAGTTTGAAATAATTATAACTCATAAATTTCGCACATTTAAATATTTCGACAAACTCAAGATCTGGTATAAGGAACGGACAGAATGGGCCACCTTTTCTTACCTCCCTCACAAAGTTTCAACATTTTGAATAAGCATGAAGCTCATACAACATGAAATGAGCATGCGATTCCTCGGTACATGTCAATGTTTCTATCAACACAAGAGCTGGTGTGAAGATGGAATATATCCGAGAATTGATTTTGGTACCTCCCCACAAATCCCAACATATTTAGTATCGCAAGATCTTGTGTGAAGATAATTGATATCGATCTTGTGTGAAGATAACTGATATCTGCTAGCTCCCTATATTTTTATCAGCATTAGATAAAATGGAACCCTTCGGTCCACTATATCTGTTACCTCACGCTCATTTGAAGATTTTCCAAAAA